ATTTTACATTAAATTTTAACGATTTGACTTTTAAATTAAAAAATTTTGATGCAAAAAATTAAATTTGTAAAGTTTTAAAATTCTGAAAAACTTTTTTTTATTGTTTTAATAATTCAAATTAACTGATAATTATAAAAATATTTTATATATAGATTTGAATTAATGAAACAAAATATCAAATAATTTTAAAAAATTTTAAGACTTTACAAATTTAATCTATATATTAAAACTTTTAATTCAATGATTGAATTATTAAAATTTGATATAGAATATGAGTTATTAATTGAATAAAGTATATATGTCGCAGTCCATGATCTGTGGGAAGATATATATATATATATATATATATATATATATAAAGAGGGATCAAATAACTTTAAGAGTAACTTAAAGTTACTTCACATAATAATTTGTTATTTATGTTAAATTTCAACGATTAAATCATTAAATTAAAATTTATTAATTAATGCATAGATAATTATAAAAGAATATTTTAATTACGTAGAAAGATATCACGTGAAAACACGACATTCTTTATTTTTCCTTGTGAAATGTAACTAAATTATTTTGTTACTTTATTCTTTTTAATTCATACATAATTATAGTAATGAGGTGATTAAAGTAAGTATATACATTTTAATACGAAATAATTAATGTAATTATGATTAATGTGTGTATATATATAATATTTCATCTATTCCTGTACTTGTCTGAGGGTACACTCGTAGTCTTCTGGGGTATAGGAGGGCTGAACGGGAGCTTCAGGTGGATTCCTCAAAAGGGGGGAGGTACCTGCAAAAGGCACTCCGATGCTCAAGTCAGGACAAGCACGAATCTCTAGGGTAATAATTGAACAGTAACATACCTCGTTACGTGTGACCTATTTATAATACCTGACATGGGCCTGAGCATAGTGGACTTTTTCTGACACTTACCAAATTAGGTAATACGATGTTAATCAGTGGGTTACGCCTTAATCATGTTTCGTCTCTTATTAATCGGGATCGCTGTTTCTAATTACTCTAATGACCTTCAGCCGGGCCGATACAGGATGACCGAGACGTTGTGTTCGGCATCTTGCCGAGCCGATATGAGCGGATGTGGATCTTGATCTTGTGCCGAGCCGGAATGACCTCTAGCTTGCGTCAATATCTGGTAGAATATGACGTGCCGGTCCACGTGGCCGATCCACGTGGCCGACGGGATCCTTCCGGTACACAAGCCCCTCAGCCTTGAGGAGTGTAACGACACAAAGGGTAAATTTGTCTTGATAGTCGTGACGGTTGGTTTAAAGGGAGCAATTATAATTGCTGAGTATTAATTGTAGGAATATGAGAAGTTATAATCGTTGGGTAATAAACGTGGGAATATGAAGGGTTATAACCGTTGGATAAGTAACGTTTGGGTAATAAGGAGGAGGATTTGAAAAGTTGGAGCTCGTGGGTCGTTGGATCAATTTGATCTGACGGTTCATACGCAAGCGGCAGTTACCATTAGGGTTTATGGAAAGTGCTATAAATAGGAGTGGTGGGGACCAAACCCTAGCATGCTTACTTGACTATAAAGAGTGATTGTTCCGAGCCGACGCAGAGATTATCTGAGTGCTTGCTATCGTCCGAGGCTATCATTCAAGTAAGGTACGTTTTAATGGCTGATTTTAATATAGGTGTAGAGGATAGGGTTTCAGAAGCTGGTTCTACCGGGGGTAGCAGGGCTAGTACTGCCGACGCGGGTTCGCATGAGTCTTCTCACCGCGAGCGAGCTGATTCTGTCTATTCGGGTTCACCTAAACCGGCTCAGCAAGGGGTTTCAAACTCGGCAACACAGAAATCAGCTAGTGTAGAAATTATCGAGGAGTTTGAGCAGTCACGAAGCGTGGAAGAGGCTTCTTCTCTTGAAATGATTGAGGGTCGACCGGATACTCGCCGAGCCGGTCTGGCCAATCGTCGATTTGGTCCTATAGAAGTTCTCGGCTATAGGTGGGTACATGGGGAGGTGGGTAGTGTATTTTCTCGGTATACCGATAAGGACACGATTGCCTTGCTGCTCGACTCGGAAATTTTTTTTACTCTTCCAGATGATGAAGTGCCATCTGGTTTTTTCTTCAAGCCATGCCGGAACGACGACTCATAGGAATCGGATTTCGTATTTCTTGGCCGAGGGGAATGTAAATATGACTTTTTTTTGTGTATGACTATCTGTTCCGAGATTTAGGGGTGACCCTGCCCTTCGATAAAGTTTTTATTGGTGTGCTTCGGTTACTCAACGTCACACCGACACAGTTGCATCCGAACAGCTGGGCCGCGATGCAAGGGTTTCGGCAATTGTGTATGGCGCTTGGTATGGAGCCTACACCCCATCTGTTCTTATATTTTTACTCTTCTCGACCAACAAAGAAGGCAAAATGGTTGTCTTTGGTTCGGGCAGAACATTGTTTACTTCAACCCTTCACGACTTCTTACAAAGGATTCAAAGTTGGGTTCTTCAAGGTCATGATTCGGCCACGCAACGGCAAGAAGTACTTTTTTAATGACGCGGGAGAAGCGTTTTTTCCTTTGTATTGGACTCGAACGTCGAGGAAATACGACGTGGTTTCGAAGTCCAAGATGTCCTCTGAGGAGAAAGATAACTTGGCAGTGCTGGAAAAGCTGCCTCGGTCGTTGCCGTGCCGAGAACTTGTTCGGCTAAAGAAATCTGCGCAACCTCTTGATGATTTAATTGGTATAGCATCTGTCTTTTGTTTGAATTCCTGCGTTGGCATTGATTTTGACTAGTGTTTGTGCAGGTATCGTGGCGAACTACACTGACGAGTTGGATATTCGCGCTTTGATCCAAGGCCGAACTGCAACAGCACCGGCTCCTCAAGGAGAGAATCGGGCTCTGACCCGTGAGACGGCTCAGCCGCAGTCGCAGCCGAAGGGCAACCAGGATGCTCACAGGGCAAAGGCGGCCAAGAAAAAAGCCAAGGCCGAGGCCGAGGCACGTCGGCAGAAATGACAAAGGCTGCCCGCACTTGTGGCTCCCTAGGGGCTCGTGAGTCCTAGTTTCCTGGCCTCGAATGTTAGTGCTCAAGAGTACTTGAGCCAGGACCTGACCTCGGAGATGGGACAAACCATCCTGGGGCAATTGACGCCGTCCCACAAGTGGACTTTTTTATGCGCGTTGCAGGCTCGGGCGTTGTCTTTGGCTCAAAGTATAATGATGCAGCCAAACGCCGAGGCCGACACATTGCGCCGACAGCTGGCTGAGTCAGAGAAGTCCGTGCAGGAAACCTTAGCGGCTCTATCTAAGGCGCAAGGTCATGGGAAGAAATGCGAGGCTAAGCTGGACCGTCGGAGCTGCCAAAACAAGACCTCACTTTGAAGGTTCAGCGGTTAGAGCACCTTTTGAAGGCCGAGACGAACAAATCGGCCACGCTGTTGAAGGAATTGGAGAACAAGAAAAGGGAGTTTGGCGCATACAGGGAGAGGGCCAAGAACAAGGTTCTCTCTCAGCATGAAGCCGGTTTCGTGCAAGCGGCTTGGCAGGCTCGGTATTTTGGAAATCTTCCGTCAGGCTTTCAGTTTGATATGACCATGGATTTCCATCGGGGAAAATATGTTAACCTGACTCAAATCCTGCCAAATGAGCAGCCGGACACTGAAGTTCCTATTCACCCTGAGGTTGGACCGAGTGGCGGCGGCCATGTGGAGGAAGAAGTGGCCGAGCAAGAGCGCTTGACTGAAGGAGAGCCCGAGGCGCATGCTTAGGGTTATTTTACGAATTTGTATGTCTGGGCCGGTAGTGCCCTTTTAACTTTGTGTATTTTCGGGCCATTAGAGCCCTTATATCTTTTTAATGCCATCTATCGTTTCAAACAGCACTCCTTAGCAAACATTTATATGACGAACTTGCCGATCGTGGTTTAATTTATACAGATTTAATGTGGAAGACTCGTAATTAGAAATAAAAACCACACCCTTGGCCGAGAGACATCTCGGGAGGGGAGACTTGTAACTTAAAATAGAAGTCACATCCTTAACCGAGAGACATCTCGGGAGGGAAGACTTGTAATGTAAAATAATTAAAGTCACATCCTTGGCCGAGAGACATCTCGGGAGGGAAGACTTGTAAGATTGAAGCCACATCCTTGACCGAGAGACATCGGGAGGGAAGACTTGTAAAATTTAAGCCGCGTCCTTGGCCGAGAGACATCTCGGGAGGGAAGACTTGTAAGATTGAAATGAAATTGCAGAAATATAAAATAAGTCATAGATAATTGAATTGTCTTATTATTGATTGATGGATGCCTCGTTAAAAACCTTGTCGGCCAAAACCTCTTCACATTTTTTTTTAAGAGGAGAAAAGACCGATTCAAGGAAAAGAGTGCATCTTAAGACATTTACACATGTACATGAAGTTGAATCCTAATTGTAATAGGTCTTCAAATGGGTAGAATTCCATGTTCGGGGGATGATTTTGCCGGATAATTCTTCTAATTTGTAAGAACCATTATTGAGGTTGTCTCGGATTCTGAATGGGACGTCCCAATTTGCCGCCAATTTCCCCTCGGTCGAGTTTCGTCGAGCCGAGCCAGTTGATCGCCAAACCAGATCACCTTCTTGGAAACTCCTTGGTCTTAACTTGGAGTTAAATCGCCTGGTCATTCATTGTTTACACGCTTCAGCGATGACTTGGGATTTCTCTCGGACCTCATCGACGATGTCAAGTTCGGCTCGGATTGCGCCGTCGTTGGACTCCTCATGAAAGTGCGTCCATCAGAATGAAGGCTCGCCAACTTCGACTGGAATCATGGCGTCCGTGCCATATGCTAATCGAAATGGAGTTTCCTTGGTGGTTGATTGAGGCGTGCACGTGTACGCCCAAAGAACTTTAGGAAGCTCTTCGGCCCACGCACCTTTGGTTGTGCCAAGTCGTTTCTTTAGCTCGGTTAGGATAACCTTGTTGGCGGCTTCGGCTTGACCGTTGGACTGTGGATGTTCAACGGACGTGAATCGGTGTCAGATGCCGAGGTTCTCCAAGAAGGTGTTGAATTTTTTATCTGTGAACTGAAGCCCATTATCGGAAATGATTGCGTATGGGATGCCGAACCGGGTGATGATGTTTTTCCATACAAATTTTTGCACATTAGCTGCCGTAATGGTGGCTAGCGGCACGACTTCAATCCACTTGGTAAAATAATCAACGGCCACCACTAGGAACTTGCATTGACCTTTGGCGAGTGGGAACGGGCCGAGGATGTCAATGCCCCATAGGGCAAACGGCCAAGGGGCACTGACCGAGTGGAGCTGTTCGGCCGAGGCATGTATTAGGTTGTCGTGCTGTTGGCATTGCTTGCACTTCCTCACGTACTCAGTACAGTCGGTTTTTAGGGTCGGCCAATAATAGCCGGCCCTTAGCACTTTAGCAGCTAGCGTTCTTGCACCTGTGTGTGATCCGCATATTCCTTCATGGATTTCTCTCATGACGTAGTCTGCTTGCGGCTTGTCAATGCATTTCAACAAGGGTGTGGAGAACCCTCGCCAATATAACTCTCCTGCGACCACGGAATACCGCGCTGCTTGGGTTCGAATCTTCTTTGCTTCTACTGGATCGGACGACTCGGAGCCGTTAACAATGAAATTCATGATGTCGGTCATCCATGTGTTTGGTTCTTCAACCGGCATGCATTCCTGTGGGATGCTGGATGTGGGTAGCTCCAAATGGAAAGTTGACCGGAGTTGTCCTGGTTTTCGGCTGCTGGCCAATCGGGCTAACTGGTCAGCTCTTTCATTATTACACCGTGGTGTGTGTCGAACTTGTACATCATGGAATTGATCTTTCATTCCTTTGTACAGATGGTAATACTTCAATAAGTTCGCGTCCTTGACTTGAAAGTTGTCATTGACCTGTTCGGCCACCACTTTCGAGTCGGTCCAACACACGATTTTGGTGGCACCCATCTCGGCAGCCATCCGCATGTCGGCGAGCAAAGCTTCATATTCTGCTTGGTTGTTAGAGGTTTTGAAACCGAACGGCAGTGATTGTTCGAGGGAAATACCGGACGGGCTTTCCAAGATTATTCCGGCACCGCTTCCCTGCTGGTTGGACGATCCGTCTACATGCATGGTCCAAGCGTTATCCTCGAACTAGCCGAGAGGCGATAATTCATTGACAAAATCAGCTAGGCCTTGTGCTTTGATAGCTCCTCGAGGTTCAAAACGGACGTCAAATTCGGAGAGTTCAATTGACCATGCCATCATTCGGCCGGCCAGTTCTGGCTTTCGGAGTACTTTAGCGATCGTACAATCTGTTCGGACTACCACAGTATGACTTTGAAAGTATTGCCAAAGGCGCCTAGCCGCGTATATGAGTCCTTACGCCACTTTCTCCAACAGTTGGTATCACCGCTCGGCGTCTTGAAGCACTCGGCTTATAAAGTATATCGGTTACTGTTGACCGTCCTGCTCCTGTATTAGTCTGGCGCTTATGCCTTCACCCGAAACTGCTAAATACAGGATTACTTCTCGGCCTGGTATCGGCTTGGTTAGCACTGGAGGAGTGCCGAGACATTTCTTGAAGAGTTGAAAAGATGTTTCGCATTCCTCCATCCATTGAAACCGGTTTGCTTTTTTCAAGACACCAAGGATCGGCTTGGAAGTTTCGGCCATACATGGTAGGAAATGAGACAACGCTGTTAGTCGGTCAGCTAGCTTTTGGACCTCTTTTAAATTTGACGGGCTCCTCATGTCAATAATAGCTTGGCATTTGTCGGGGTTAGCCTCGATGCCCCAGCTTGAAAGCATGAAGCCCAAGAACTTACCGCCCGAGACACCGAACACACATTTGTCCGGGTTGAGTCTCATTTGGTGCTTCCGGAGCGCGTGGAAGACTTCGGCCAGATCAGTGACATGAGAAGGTAAGCTGGCCGATTTGACCACCATGTAGTCAACATAAACCTCCATATTCTTCCCAATCTGACCACCGAAGATCTTGTCCATGAGCCGTTGGTATGTGGCTCCGGAATTCTTTACGCCGAAAGGCACTCCTTGGCAGCCATAATTGGAGGATTCCGTGACGAATGTCGTTTTGTCTTCGTCTCGAGTATGCATACGGATTTGATTATAACCCGAGTATGTGTCGAGAAAGGTTAAGAACTTGTGGCCGACTGCTCCATCAACCAACCGGTCTATGTTTGGCAACGGATATGCATCTTTCGAACATGCTTTGTTTAAGTCTGTGTAATCAGTACACATTCGCCACTTCCCGTTTTCTTTTTTAACCATGACGTCGTTGGCCAGCCATGTTGTGTACTGTATCTCTCGAATGAAACCCGCTTCTAACAACTTGGATACCTCTGCTTCAACTGCCTTCTTTCTCTCTTCCCCCATCTTTCTTTTTCGTTGGGCAACCGGTTTGGCTTCTCGGCATACAGAGAGTTTATGACACAGGAAATTGGGGTCAATACCTGGCATGTCAGCTGGTTGCCATGCAAATAAGTCTTTGTTTCTTCTAACAACTTGTCCGATTTCATGCCTTTCCATCTTAGACAGGTTAGAACCGAGGTAGGTCACGTGTTGGTCGGTTGGCCCGATGACAATTGGATGTCGATCCTCGATTGGCTCGACCCTCTCGTCCTGCTCCATTCGAGGGTCGAAGTCTACTATCATTTCAGGGTCTTGGGCTACCGAGTGTACACGTTTTTCTCCACGCGGCTCGGTCGTTTCAAGACTAGGCAGCCGGAGACTAGCGAAATAACATTCTCTAGCTGCTTTCTGGTCCGCATGTACTGTGATGATTCAGCCTGATTCGGAAGGGAATTTCATGGCTAAGTGCGGAGTTGATACGATCGCACCCAGTCTGTTGAGAGAAGGCCTGCCGAGAAGGATGTTATATGACTTGTTGGCGTACGCAACCACGTACTTGACCGGAATGTCTCGAGCTTCGGCTCCATCAAAGGAGAAACGAGTGGATAACTTGATGTATCCTCTCGTCTGTACATGTTCGCCTGAAAATCCGACCAAGGGTTCATTATACGGAATTAATTTGGCCTCCGGGATGCCGAGCTGTTTGAATGTATTCCAATACAGAATATCGGCCGAACTGCCCTGGTCAACCAGCGTTTTTCGAACGATGCAGTTCTGAATTTCGACACTGATGACCATTGGATCGTCTTGGTCAGGATCAATGCCCTTGAAATCTGCTTCTGTGAACGTGATGGCCGGTATCCTGTGTTGAGTTCGTTCCACCGCGTGTACGGCTCGGACAGCTCGCAGGTGCCTCTTTTGTGCCGATGAGGAAGCGCCTCCGCCAGCAAATCCGCCAGAAATAGTGTTAATGACTCTTCGGGGCTGAGTCGTCGGCTTGTCTTCCTTTCGGCCTCTCGACCGACTTCGTTCCCTATAAGGACGTCTATCAGATCTGTCTTGCTCGGGTTGATCTCGACGGTGCCGACGATCATCATGTCGGGGGGAACGAGGTCGATCAACAAAATGCTGAAGCTGTCCTTGTTTGATTAAGTCCTCGATCTTGTCCCTCAGAGCCGCGCACTCTTCAGTTGAGTGACCCCGGTTGCGATGGTATTTGCAAGACTTGGTAGTATCCGCGCGTGGGGGAGTTGAAGCACGTTTTGGCACTGCCAGGACCTCCGACGTGAGTGCTTGGTCTAGTACAGGTGATTGAGTGGTGTTTAGAGGAGTGTAGTGGGAGTACCTTGGTCCTCGAATAGGCTTTTCTCTCGAGACGAGGTCCTTGGGACGACTACGGTATGAGCCTTCGGCTGGTTTCTCGGCCTTGGCCGAGACTTCCGCCCTGGCCTGATTGTGGAATTCCGCGAGTTCTTCCATCTGCATATATTTATCGGCGCGGCGCCGCAAATCATCCATGTCAGACGGGGGTTTCTTGCATATACTGTTAGCAAACGGTCCCGGCTTCAGGGCTGTAGTCAAATGATGGAGGGCAACGGCCGGATTGAGGTCTCGAATCTCGAGAGCTGCTTTGTTGAATCGGGTCATGAAAGCCCGAAGGGATTCCTTCTTTTCTTGTCTTATGCTTACCAGCGCAAGGGAGGTCAAATGGTGGGGTCGGCTAGTGGCAAACTGGATGGTGAACTGGGATGCGAGGGTGTTGAAAGAGTCTATTGAGTTGGCCGGGAGACGAGTGAACCAACTCAATTCTCTTCCTTTCAGAGATGTTGGGAAGATACGACATAGGGCGGCATCGTCGGTGGTGCTGAGTGTGACTTGGGTGAGGAAAATATCGACGTGTTCGTCGGGGTCAGTGGTCCCATCGTACTTATCTATCGGAAGGAACTTCCAATGGTCTAGAAGGCAGGATTGCATTATGTTGGGGGTGAAAGGGTGTCGGTGTGCTCCGATAGGTGGAGCGTATGCGGGTCGGCTAGTAACTTGAGCAGCCGAGGCGTGGTTTCCTGGGGCGACAGTGGAAGTGTGGGGAAGAGATGTATGTCTGAGCGAGTGGAACGAACCCTGGGTATGAGTCAGCTCGGAAGGTTTCCAAGTGGGATCTTTGTTTTGATTTTTCAAGGCAGCATTCTCTTCCCTCAAAGCGGCCATCTCACGAGCGTCTTTCTCTCGTTGTTGTTTCATGGCGGCCATTTCCTCCTTTAGTTGTTTCACCATCTCGGCCATGTTAGTCTCGTCGATCGTCTCGGCGGTATCTGCTTCGGATTGGTGTTCATCTTCAGATCGGTGGTCTCCCATGTGATTTCTCCTTGTCTTTGCCATGGTCTCTTTCCAATAGTACCTAGTCTGACTTCTTCAAAAGCTGTCGGTTCGGCCCCACGGTGGACGCCAAAATGTACCTGTCTGAGGGTACACTCGTAGTCTTCTGGGGTATAGGAGGGTCGAACGGGAGCTTCAGGTGGATTCCTCAAAAGGGGGGAGGTACCTGCAAAAGGCACTCCGACGCTCAAGTCAGGACAAGCACGAATCTCTAGGGTAATAATTGAACAGTGACATACCTCGTTACGTGTGACCTATTTATAATACCTGACATGGGCCTGAGCATAGTGGGCTTTTTCTGACATTTACCAAATTAGGTAATACGATGTTAATCAGTGGGTTACGCCTTAATCATGTTTCGTCTCTTATTAATCGGGATCGCTGTTTCTAATTACTCTAATGACCTTCAGCCGGGCCGATACAGGATGACCGAGACGTTGTGTTCGGCATCTTGCCGAGCCGATATGAGCGGATGTGGATCTTGATCTTGTGCCGAGCCGGAATGACCTCTGACTTGCGTCAATATCTGGTAGAATATGACGTGCCGGTCCACGTGGCCGATCCACGTGGCTGACGGGATCCTTCCGGTACAATTCCTATATATAAGATTCAATTATCTAATTTATCAATATTAAAAAAATATAATTAATTTAACTAATAACAATAAATTTATCCTATTTATATAATTTTTTTCTAAAATTATCTTTATATTACTCTTCTTTTCTAATTAATACTCATATATCTCATAACTAATTAGTATACATGTCTTGTATTATAATTAATGTATTTTACTAAATTAAGATAATATATTTTAATTAAGGATATTTTAATCTAAAAATAATTAATATATGAGACAATAGAAATTGAATCTTATATAAAAGAATAAAAAATTATTTTGAATTGGGTAAAAAAAGTAATATTAACTAAGATGATTAATATTATTTTAAATTAAATAGATTTGGCACGCTACATAGTTACAAACGATTGATAGGGTTTGAAATGTCAACATAGTTAGAATTTGAACTAGCAAAATGAGTTACATCTAACCTACTAATAGCGTGTTTGGAAACACGTTTCAAACGTGGAAAACCACGTTAAACGTGGAAGCTATTAGTAATAGATTCCACGTTCAATGTGGTTTTCCACGTTTGAAACGTGTTTCCAAACACGCTCTAAGGCTGCCCAATGTACACCACATGTTATAATGGGTTGGTGGTCTTCTAAATTGATTCCCATATCCGGCCCTATTATACGATCTATGTGCTTTTATTAATTATTCAACGTCAAATTCTATATAAAAAATAAAAAATAAATTGTGAAAGAAAGAAAAGCAGTTATGCATATGACTATATGAATATAAGTGGGTTAAAGGTCTTAATTTACTTTACTTTTAGTGCTTAATTTTTTTTATCCCATTAACATTATAGTCTTTAGCATTAAAATTTTTGTTCACGAAGTAAACATCTAGTGACGAGTAAACATCTAGAGACTTAACTAAATAAATATTGTTAAGGAACTAAAAATAATTGAAAAAAATTCAGAAATTAAAAACAATTTAATCCTAATTTCAAAATTAACTTAACATAATTATATCAAAATTTAAAATTAAGCATAATTATAGAGAATTAAATTATTGAAAATCGTTATATTTGGACGAGAAAGTTAATACGCAAACACTTTTTTTTATTGTTATAAAAATAAATATAAAAATATAAAAGTATTTTTTGTGTATAAATATATTATTTAACTGGGAGATGATCAAGAAAATAAAATGTTAATTAGCTTAAAAATATTTTTAAGAAATTATAAATTACTAGTATTTTAGTCTATACAATATTCATACATATTTATTATCTATAATTAAAATTTACAATAAATTATATATATATATATACATATTATATTTGAATATATAAATCATATTTAAAATTAGTATATATTAATATTTTTAAATATATAAATTATATTTTAAATTTACGATAAATAATTTGTATTATAACAATTTTTTATTTTTAATAATTTATTT